ACTGTCAAAACGTATGCTTTCACTGATATTCTGTTTTATTTAATTGCTATTTTCGCATATTTCAACAAGAAGTAAAACATGCCTTTTTTGGAAGCACGATATAGCACTTTCCTTTCTTTTTTTAAATCTAAGTTTTAACATTTTTTAAAAAAGAAAATATGTTAAAAAAGTATTCAAAGCTCTTTTTGTAACAAGAGAATTGTGAATGATCATGTATTGCTAACAGCTGTATGAAAAAAGAAAATTTGATAATATGCAACTTAAGACACAATAACACGCCGAATAAATACTAATTCAGAAGTCAAACAACAAAAATCAGCGTTATATTTACCAAATTTTCACAGGACTAGTTTCGATGGTTTTACCGAACCACCATCTTCAGCTGCAAAACCGCAAATGAACCAGATAGGAAATAATGATTAGATAAGATAAGAAAGCCTGGACAAGAATAAGCAAGTGGCGCCATCTGTTGGTTGAAACCAGAACTAAAACATAAACATAATTTCTTTAAAGGCCGAAGGGCAAATTTGGATTGGAATTAGGATCGTTAACTAGAACAGAAAGATTTTTATGAATGTGAAATGCCTCTAGAAAATCCAGTTCTCCAATGGAAGATGTTTTTTGAATAATTTTGGCAGCAGGAAAACTGAAAGTGTGGTTTTCGGACCAACAATGTTGAGCAACAAAGGACTTCTGTGTTTCCTTTTTTCTAACATAACATTCAGGCAACTTAAAATAACATTCATTTCATAACATTCAGGCAACTTAAAACATTCACTTATCCCATCTGTTGCGAATTGTGCCAGATTACATGCTCTTCCCAAAATTCATAAAAGTGGTATTCCTTTCCGCCCTATTGTATCAAATTTAGGTACTGCCTCGTATCCATTAGCTAAATATTTAGTTTCTAGATTTTCAACTCTATTAGACAATAACATTTACACCATAAAAAATTAGATAGAGTTTGTAAAAAAAGTTAAAAACATTTCTCCTCGTAATTTACTCATGGTTTCTTTTGATGTAAAATCATTATTCACCCAATGTCCCAGTGGAGGGTGCATTAAGATGTCTAGAAACCAGACTTCGCAAATTTCATTTCTCTTGCATCGAAATTGATGAGCTAATTTCTCTCACTCAACTCTGTTTGAAACAAACACATTTTGTTTTCCAAAATAAATATTACAAGCAAACTGAGGGATTAGCCATGGGAAGCCCCCTCAGTCCCATCCTGGCTGATATCTACATGCATTATTATGAATCAAAATTGTTTGAAACTTTAAACTTCCCGGCATGGTTCCGCTACGTAGACGATACTTTTACTCTGTTTGAAGGTAATAAAGATGATTTAAATAAAGTTCTTTCAACAATGAATTCTATTGATCCTGCTCTATTCAGTTCACTTTTGAACTTGAGACTTGCAATTCTCTTCCGTTTCTAGACATTCTGGTCACACGTAACACATCCAACTTCAGTACTACGGTTTACCGTAAACCTTCATCGGTTTGCCTTCCACCCACACTTTAAATCATGTCATCCGACTAAACAAAAGTTAGCTTCATTTTATTCCTATGTTTTCCGTGCTCTTCAAGTTTGCTCCTCCAAACTAGCCCTTGATGAAGAACTAAATTATTTAAAAGCAATAGCTATTGACAGGGGCTTTTCACCCAACATTATTAATCAAGCAGTTAAAAAATTCTCATCTCAACACACTAAAAGGCCACACTCTTGTTTTTAGGAGATTATAAAAATTCTGTTGTCATTCCCTTCTTTCCATCAATTAGCTATAAAGTTGCACATATTTTGCAGAAATTTAACTTTCGGGTTGTTTATTCTCCCATCAATAAAATTCCGAGTTCCATACTCAAGGACCCCATTCCGGATATGAATTCCTGGGGTATTTACATGATTCCTTGCCAGTGTGGTTTAATTTACATTGGCCAAACTAAGAGAGCGGACTAAGAGAGTTACAAAACGGATTAAAATAAATACAAAATTAGGCCGTCCGGGTGCCCATGTTCGGGTGGAGGATTACGTTATTCAAAATTTTATGATTCTAAATTCTGTTGTTTTTTTCACAGTGCGAGAGAAACATACATGAATTCATGCAGATTCTTCATTGTTTAATTTCTTTAAATTTAATACAGGGCGATAATACTTGGTGGCAACAGTTTGCAAGGTAAAACGGACATTTATAGTGAAACAAAGCAAAATGCCGTTTCGAAACTAATAGCTTTTCTGAGCTGCCTCCCCTTTGGGTTAATAAAATAAATTAGCAATAAATAAGAAAACTTATGCAGAACTAGACATAAATTAAAAAAATAATCACTATAAAATACTAGCACAATTAATTATTACAGTCAAATACAATTATTAACATTAGAATAAATGCATAAAAATTATTAAAGTGTTAATTACTATGATGTATTATGAAATATTATTGAAATAAAACTTCTTTGTAGACTATTATGCTATAATATTCAGATATACTTTTAAAAAAAGCAGTACAAATAAGAATTTTAAGCAAAAACTTTCAAAAATCCATTTTTTTTTATTTTAGTCCAACTATTGTTAAGTTTCTGCAAGTCGTCCCTACTCTTCCGGATGTGGTCAAGGTGATAGCCGGCAATACGCCAAGGCAAGGGAGAAAACCCATTTGGGTTGGTCTATTTCTTATAAGGTCCATGGATATATATCAAACAATGCTAAATTAACACAATAATTAAAAGTCTATATGAGATCTTTAAGAATCGAAAAATGAATTTTACTGATAGTGAAAAAATAACTTAAATATTGAACTTACAGAGAAGTCGAGAAATTTTTAATTGATAGTAAGTTTGAACAATTATTGGCCAGCTAAACGTTACTGTCAGCTTTGTGTTCTGTCGAATAAATGTGTTGATAGTTAAGTGTCCTGTAGTTAAATATCTTGACAGCTAACTCTCTGTGTCAGCAAAATGTCCTGTCGGCTAACTGTCCGTGTCGGCTAAATGTTCTGTCGGCTAAGTGTCCTTTTCGGCTAAGTGTCTTGTCGGCTAAATGTTGGTGTCGGCTAAGTGTCCGTTGGTGGCTAAGCCTAATCCTGTCCTAAATCCTAAGTCGGCTAAGTGTCCCTGTCGGCTAAATGTCTTGTCGGCTAACTGGTGACGGTTAAGTGTCCTGTCGGCTAAGTGTCCGCGACCGAATTTTATAAACAGACATAATTTCTTGTTCAGTTACAAAGTTACGCTGTTCAGTTCCTATAATTGCTGTGTCAAGAATACCGACTAATTTGTCAATCAAAATCTTTCGTTTTCAATAACCTCTGTGTCACTTTCTTCTTTATCGGAAGCGAATTATAATGACGAGGAATTTGATTTAAATCATATCACAGACGGAGTACGCCGAGATGAAATACTACATTTAGTAAGGAATTATAAGCCAAATAAGATAAAAACACCTGCCCTGAAGATAAGGATAGTGCTGACAGATTAACTTCCAATTCATTGCGTGCCGCGGTGTGAAATTGATAAACAGATTTCGGAATGGTTAGAGAAATGAAGGATATGCCTTTATCCATTTTTTGCAGCAATTCCACTTTTTGTTTAATGGACTTCGAAACATACTTTCGCTTTGTAGATCCTTTACACATTAGTAAATATATATCGGAAATTCTATTTGACATAATCGAAAGTTCAAGCTTACTTTTATAAAATTGCTCTAACATTCTGCAAAAAATAATAAGCCGGATCTAATTCGAAGATTAAGGGACAACGCAATCTGCAACATTTAACTGAAGCAGATAATTTTAGATTAGCTTATACCATCCGTTATACATTAAATACGCATTCATAAACGTATTATGCACACACACATATTCGCAGTAAAGGTCAGAATTAACGTCAACGCGACGCATATGCAGAAAGTTTGTAGCTTTGAGGTCCGGATTATGGGTGTCCGAATTAATGACTTTTGACTGTATATGAAAACAGTTTTACTACGGAACATTCAAAATACATAAATATTTCGGTACTATTCGGTTTTGAGGGCCGTAAAAAAATTGCAGCGAAAATGTATGCGCAAAAGTGCCAAATCTAGCGTACGTGCTGATTTCAGATTGCGTAAGTTTATATAGTTCTGTATTTCTTAAGACGCCATTGAAATACTAGTTTAACTTTTAAATCATTTTTTGATTTTAAATCCTTTTTTGATATGCTATGGATTTAACAATATGGGAATTGCCACGACGAAAAGTCGACAATAGAATTTTGGGTAAAGTGCAGAATCACCCACTGCTTGACGCGTTTTTAAGAATTGCACATACTCGGTATCCATGTGCACATCGACCTATTTTCACTTTAAAAAAAATTCCCAGAATTGCACAAAAATGGCACTGCGCACACCCTTGACTTTATCTATGTACACATCGACCTATGTTCACTTAAAAGTAAAAGAAAATTGACAAAAATCCAATTCCTTTTTAAACCTTGTAATAAGCGGCAAACAAGTAAGTGAGCGATTCTGCACTTTACCGAGAATATTTTCAAAGAAAAGGCCTCATTCATTATAGAAAATTACGTTTGAACAACCAACGAGATGAAATTATGCTTTAGCAATAAGTCGGTAGCGAAATAGTGATGCAGGCATCCATTCAGTTATGTTTAGCAATTTTTATATAAATTATAATAATGATCTGAAATAGTTATTTACTCTTATGCTTTCATTCAGTCCTGTTTAGCGTTTTTCATATAAATTATAATAATAAAAAAGTATTATATGAAATTAACCTTTCATCTAAATTAAAACATCAATCTTAAATAGTTATTTACTATTATACTTCCTTTTTTGACGCAATTATTAGGGTTGCCGCAATTATTTTTGGCAGCATTGGCATTAACAATAGTTTGGCGATTTTTTACAGCCCTCGAAACCGAATAGTACCAATATTTCTTTCAAACTAGGATTTTTTTTTAAATAAAGCATTAATATCTCTTTGAGGACATTTTAAAATCATAAATACTTACTTGACATTCTTGGAATACAATATTTTCCAAAGTTTCTTCAGATACACTGAAAATTTTTAAAATGAAAGGCTCAAATGATGTTTAAAATTGAGATATATCATAACAGATAAAATTAATTAACATAAAGTATTTGTAATATCTTTTATTCAACAAAAAGGTGTACAAAAATTTACAATATATTGGCAGTATACAACATTGAATTTTTTTATACAACAAAAAACTTCCAAAATGCAAATATAGAGAATATGTGATAGGATGTGATTCTTACAGACAGAGGAAGACCAAACATGTGTATGCATAAAATGTTAAATAATACAATAAAATATTAGTAGTTTAACTGTGTTATATTAATAAATAATTGAATCAATATTCAAAAGACTGACAATAAGCATAAATGTTGAAAAACCAACAATACATCACAATAAACTTTTTTTTTTTTTATAAACACTTACTAAAAATACAAAACCGGGGCGGGAGAGAAAAAGAAGCTAATATCACAAAACTCAAGAAAGACTGCAATATATATACACTGCCCTGCAAAAGTTAAAGAACAGCATGTTTTTAAAAGCTCACCATTGCAAAATATATGTAACATTTAAATTCACAGCTCACACACACGACAGTACCAAACTTTAAGATAATATATGCAAAAATAATAGCTACTACTTTTATTTTATAGAAATGAATACTTATGAAGGAGTTAGAGAAAAAATACAAAAATTCTAATTTTTGTTCACAAGTGATGATTTTCAGTTGTTATTAGAGTTTTGTGGATAATATCTAGGAGAAGTTTGCCCGATTCGTTGGCGGGCGATCGAACGGATCAAAATGGGTATGTCACAAGCTCATGCTGCTAGACGTCTCAATATCTCTCGTAGCATGGTCCACCGACTATGGAATCAGTTTAAATCCGAAGCTTCTGTATAAAGAAGACATATTTCAGGCAGGGCTGTGCAGTCGGAATCGGAATTTTAGGCAGATTTTGAATCGGAATTTTAGGCAGATCGGAATAGGCAGATTTTGGAGTAAAAATAGTTGGAGTTGCTAAAAACACTCCGACTCCAGTTTATGTTGGACATTTGGAATTTTAAATGAAATTAAAGTGAATTAAAAAAAAAGATTTAACGAAAAATTTAGTTATTTTTATTTATGGACTATATACATTAGTAAATAGTTATTTTCTATTTTATTGACATATTAATAAATAAATACAAGAGATGTGATATTTGCCATTATTGATTAAACTGCTTCATTTAGTTACAATTCAGGTAAGCAACAATAGCAGCAAGAACTCCCAAAATTGATGCCATTCTTAGGAAGCGAAAAGGAAAAGGAGCAATTATTGCTCAAGCAATACGATGGGGAAGTACATATTTGATGACATAGAGGTTGTTAGAATTAAGAACTTTTTAGAAGCTGTTGATAACTGTAATGTTTCACTAACAGAAAGACTGTGGAATGATCTTGCAGAATTGCAAACTCTTCTTTCCACACTGTACATAGCCACAAAAAAGCTACAATCTGAAGAATTAACAGGAGGCGAAAATGGAAGACTGTGATGTTTGTTCTTTCTGAAACGGAGGGTTTATTGCAGTAGGAATCACTTCTTCAATGAAGAAAAGAGAAACTAGCTTCTTAGACAATGAGATCTTGCTAGGTTCAATATATCTAATCAAAAACAGCGAATTTTGTTGCATGATGAACAAATTAAAAAGGCAAAGAAAGCCATCTATGAACTTTCATTAAGAATGAAATTATGGTTGATCTTTACATTATGGTAACTTGGCGATTTTTTGGCGAAAATTTGGCAACCAATTCTCCTACAGCAACCCTCTATTTTTTTTTCCCCGCCGCCATTTGTCTTCACGAAGTAAAGACTGTTTCTTTTCTTTTTATCTACTGAACACTTCTTCCAACAATCTAGTAGCCGAATTACACTTATGCTAGAAATTTTATCAAACAAAACTGCTTAATCATGACAAATATTCACTGCAAAATTGGGAAAAAGTGCACAATACCATACTCCTTACGCGCGTTTTTCAAAAACACACATAAACCATGTACACGGCGACTTATTTTTACTTAAAAAAAAATCCAGAATTGCACAAAACATTGCGCACACTCTTCACTATATCCATGTACACTGCTTTTTCTCATAAATTAGAAAATTTTCACGAAAATGCATGACAATTTTCTCAATCTTTAAACCCGGTAAAAGAACATATATGATGAAATTACCTGATCACAAAAAAGTATTTACCCTTTACAAATATGAACATTTCCACATAAAAATAAATAAATATCCAAAAACTTTTACCTCTAAATCATCTATTACATCATACACAGCACCAACGAATTCATACCGCAAGCATTACAAATACTTAGTATCAAATATTTAAATTATTTCCATGCACGTTTATTTCAACTTAAACGTATACCAAATCCCTACAAACATAAAATTCACAAAATAACTATCATTTCATTAAAATCACTAAACCTGTACACGTCACTTATTTTACTTAAAAAAACATCCCAGAATTGCACAAAATGGCATTGCGCACACTCTTCACTATATCCATGTACACTGCTTTTTTCTCATAATTAGAAAAATTTCACAAAAAATACATGACAATTTTCTCAATCTTTAAACCCGGTAAAAAGAACATATACGAAATTACCTTATCGCAAAAAAGTATTTACCCTTTACAATATGAACATTTCCCATATAAAATAAATAAAATATCCAAAAACTTTTTACCTCTAAATCATCTATTACTTATACACGTCACCAACGAATTCATACCGCAAGCATTACAAATACTTAGTATCAAATATTTAAATTATTTCCATGCATGTTTATTTCAACTTAAACGTATACCAAATTCCTACAAACATAAAATTCACAAAATAACTATCATTTCATTAAATATAATTAAATTCAAAAAACACTACTTAAAATATAAATGAGCACATACATTAAATTAATAAAAATTACCTTACAATCCTAATTACTTTAAACTAAATCATTGCTAATAACAATTTTCCCAATAATACCCAAATTCCTTTCCACTTTACATTTAGAACAATGCATAAAAATAATATCCTCAAATAATTAAAAAATACTAACTTACCTAATCTTCTTCAGAATCTTAATTACGTGGCAGATACACTTTTCTAATTCATTCAATAAAATTATTGAAAGATTTTTTCTGCGAATTTTTCCTCCATGCTTCCTCCGCTAAATAAAAAGCAAACTTCTCTTTATCACAATGCCTAAATACCCATTTCGAATTCACTTTAGTTAGGGCCATGGGATCCCAAAAATTAAACAACACTGTTTCACACAACAAGAATAAAGCTAAATACAAAATTTCCTCCACATTTTTTCCCGATTTCCCCCCCTTTTCCGATTAAAAAGAACCGTAATTCGTCCATTAATATCACATGACATATCCCATGATCTCTCATTTCCCTCATGCAAAATAATGCGTAATCGGAACTGAGTACTGCTCACATTATTACCAAAGTCCCAGGTAGTAACCTTTATCGCCTCCAAAATGTCGCCAAACTACCAGTTACCATATTGTAAAGATCAACCGAAATTATTTCCAAACAATTGGAATATTCAAATCAGGATAGTCAAACTGCAGACATTGCAACTGAGTCTTTATCATCTTCCAGTGATGAATTAGATTTTGAGAAATATTTGGATAATACTAAAAAGGTTTAGGCAAAGTGAATGAAAATAAAGAATCAAGAGTCTTTAGATATAAAAATGAAAAAATACAAACAAAATTTCTATGTGGCATTTGAAGAAATGAAGAAATATGATTGCTCTTGCAAAACACCTCTTTTTGAACTTATATCTAGCCTGAAAAGTTCAAAGAAGTAGCCCTAATAACTCCCTCCTACTCAAGTCAGTGTGGAAAGACTCTTCTCAACTCTGAAGTTTATCAGATTGGATCTATGGTCCTTTGTCAAAGAAGATCTTGCCGAAGCTATACTGTTTCTTAGAAATTACAAATGCCAGTTTTTCCATGTCATTCCATTAAATTTTTTCTGTAGCATATATTACTTCTTTTATATTAAAGTCAGAGTTGGAGTTGATCATTTTCCCTACAGGCTCCACAGCCCTCAGTACAGGTCACTTCGACGCCAGCGTTACAACGCGTGGTCAATTCGACACAAGGTCGTTTTGACACAGGGTCAATTCGACACGAGGTCGTTTTGACACAGGGTCAATTCGACACGAGGTCGTTCGACATCATATTTTTTTTGCTTTTATTTGACGCCATACTTTTCTTATTTTTATTTATTTTTAGAATAAGTTTGCATCATCATTCAAATAAATTTGGTGTCATCATTTGGTGTTTCACACCCCACATTATGGGAATTCATAGATGGTCTCAAATGTGTTCAAAAATCAATTGATCAAAGTTATGAACGAATTTGTACGTGGAGATGAACCGCTGCACAAGCGGAATATGGTATCTGCGAGCTGATATTAGAATTAAAGTAATAGTTGAAGGATTTTGAAAATCGGAGAAATAATGAAATACCTGAAAGGTGTGGCGCATACTTTTGCAATGGATTAGTTTAATAACAGTTCTGTGATGTAAACTTATTTATCTCTACTCTTATTTATGTGTAATCTTATCTCTAATCTTATTTATGTGTAATCTTATTTATCTGTAATTATATTTGTCTGCAATATAACTACTTTGTAAACATATGCTTATTTACCATTTGTGTGTTTTGCCTTTTTGATGCTGTTTTGTGAAATAAATAAATTTAAAAAAAAACCTCCCTCATGTCCCGGGGCCTTGACGTTGGCTAGGGGGCTTCTCACTAATCTGGGACACAAACAAAAATGTAGAACATTTTCACACATATATTTATTTCAAATATGCATGCAAGCAATCGCTAATTCAATAAATAAAAATCAGTCATATTACTTATTTATATTACTTCATATTTATTCTAAAAATAAATAAAAATATGAAAAAAATATGGCATCGAACTGCCCCTGGCGTCGAAATGTACGGCAGCGAACTGCCCTAGCGTCGAAACGACCTGCTTCGCACAGCCCTAGTTTCAGGCAAACCTAGAGTTACAACACCTGAAGGAGACTGTTATTTAGCTTTTTCGGCCCAAAGGAGGAGTAATATTACTGTGCCTCAGCTCATTTGGTGGCAACAGGAACAAGAAACACAGCTACTACAGTGTGCAGACGCATACACAACACAGGTCTGTATGCAAGACGATGAGTTGTTTGTGTCCCCTTGACCCTAGGACACAAAGGTGCCCATTTATGTTGGGCAAGAGAACACGTTTCCTGGATCGGTCAAGAATGGGTGTCTGTTCTCTTTACAGATGAGTCCAAGTTCCCACTGGAGAGTGATTCAGGTTCTCAGCTGATTTGGAGGGAATAATGCACCAGATACGATCAATCCCACATTGTGGAAAGACACAGTTACATAGGTAGTGGAATAATAGTTTGGGCTGGGATTTCTCTCGGTGGTCACATTAGCCTGCATGTGTTACGTGAAGGAACTTTGACCAGTGGGATATTAAGGCGAGATCCTTGATCAATACGTCTGCCTACATGCTGCTGCTATTGGTCCTGGATTTCTTCTGATGGACGACAATTCACGATTGCACCGAGCTCAGGTTACTGAAGAATATCTTGAGGGTCATGGTACGGAGCAGATGAAATGACTAGCTCAATCCCAAAACCTGAATCCGATAGAACATCTTTGGGAGACAGGTTGCTGCTTTAACCTTCCAGCACGCGCGCTTGGCAATTTTACATGAGCACGCGAGCATTATATTTTTTACCACATCCGTTATTTTACCGTTTTTGGGGCAAAAAACGACAGGAATGAGTGAATATTGATAATAAATTTGTTAAGAAATAAAATATTAATCTTATTATTGAAAAATAAAAATGATATCACATTCAAATGTAAGTAAATTATTTTCAAGTTCTTATGTGAGTGAGATGGAAATGCAATGATGTATTTCATTATAGAAAATTTTAAATTTATTATTTTAATAATTATATTCTAAAATCAATGCAAATTTTAATATTCATCAAAAGCAAGTATAGACAATTTAAAAAAGAAAACACCTTGGTAGGAAAAAAAGTAAGTTTAGCATTACTTACTTCTGCAAGGAAATTTACTTCTTCCTGGTTACAAAAACGCACTTTAAACTAACTTTAATATTTTTATTTATTTCTAAAAAATAGAAATAAAAGAAAATAAGGAATGGAAATCACTATTGCTCTTCCATCCAAAGGTTTCCTTGTCTTTCTTTTCTTCATCAGATAAATCTTGAAGAATGCGAGCAAAATCAACCGGTTGCACATTATTTTTTTGCCATGAAAACCGATATAAAATTTACAGAGCCAAATATATTCCAATTAAAATAATACATAGCAATTAATAACACAAAATTACAAAATATTTGAGGAAAAAATATTTTCTGAATTTTCACCCACGGCCACGCGCGTGTCGTAAATTTTACAAAAAAGCTGCCACATAGCACAAAACCTCCGTAAAAACAAAAAAAAGGCAAATAACTTCCTGTTGGCACATTCCATGATGTGGGGAAGGGTAGAAAGGGGGAATAGAAATGACCTTCAGGCATCTCATCTTCCATATGCGAAAAAAGTGCATTAAAAACTGAATTTGTCATAAATTTTGCGCATGCTGGAAGGTTAAGTCCTCCTCCAAGGTTGTTAGATGAGCTTGAACAAGGATTACTCCATGCCTGGTCATTGTTTCCCATTTCACTGACGGACAACTGTCACCAGTGCGATGTGTTGACTAGGAGAAATCTAACAGAAATTTCCTTCCATATGCAAAAAATAGATTTTATAAATGATACTTATAGGCCAAAAGATTACATTTAGTGCTGCTTGAATTGAGAATAACTGATTTGTTATCCAGTTCCCAAGCCAGATGCCTGAGTTGGTGCAGCTGCACTGTAAAATTTTCAGAAGCACCCGGCAACAAAATTAAGAGATAGCAAAATCTTCTAGCAAAGGCACTGGGATGCAAAATTTTTAGAATTTCTTCTATACATAACATATTCCCTCCACTGCATTACCAGCATTCTGCAGGATGATTTACTGTCATTTACTGGTTATTCAAATTTTGTTCATAATCCAAGGTTTCGCTCTACTTTGGCAGAATCTTGTTAATAATGATCCGGATGAATATTTGCATCTCTTTTGATAATTCTCTTTTGAGATAACTACATATTCCCTCAAAAAATTTAAATAGCCATGTTTCGTACTTGTTACTAATATAAAAGCATCGAAAAAACAGAATCATTGAACAGTATGAGTCATATATTAGTTAAATTTAAGGCAAAATTCGTTTTTTTTTAGGGGGGGTTGCTTATTTTCATCGTTCTTTTTGTTATTATGCAGAATATAGATTGAAGCCATATAACATCATTCAAGTCACATCCGTAAAAAAAAAAAATCTTTCAAAGCACTTACCCTTTTTTACATAAAGGTTATTTAAACCACGAACAATTTCCAGCAGCAAAAAAGAAAAGTGATACTTACTCGGCAAATTCAGCGACTAGTTCTTCTATGCAATCCCTTTTTTTCAGTTCTCGGTATCTATTAAGAATTTTTTTATAATAGCTTAATTTCATAATTACAAGTTCTAATTAACTTATACCTTGATGCACAATAACATGTCAACTAGCATATTTAAAATTAGTTCCGTCATAAAAACGAAAGGACGTTGCCATATTCATGTGGTCGCCGTAAAATACTGCTTCTTCAAGTGATGCAAACCACGGTGGCGCAAACACCAACACCGGCGTACCTGATCTGTGATCACTAAGGCTCTAATAAGGCTTCTAGCAGCTCTATAACGACCTACCTCCTTGGAGTAAGTAGTTACTTCAGAATTTACTGCGAAGTAACAGAGGTGCTTCTAAATGCTGAGGAATAGTCACTAAAATGGCAAAAGTTCTAAGCATAAATATATTGTGGTCACATAGCACTTCTCTTACAAACGAAGTATATAAAGTGAGCTGTTGAACTGGTGAGCATGCAAACAAAAATAAAGTTAAACATGTAAAGGCAATGCGAGTCATAAGCGCATCATCAATAATTTTAAAATAAAAAATCATAAACGGATTCAAAATGCAAAAAGGAAATCTAGGTACCAAATACACACCACTTGCTAAATTACGGGATACGTACGAACAAGTCATCTATATATTAACGGTAGTTACCAAATGCATACAAAACCAACCAACTACTGACAACTTCAGCACAAGTAAACCATACTGAGAAGGCGTTCAAACCAGGACTGTCATTCTACGCTACGAGAGTCGACAGCAACTTGTGGGTCGCCAGCTGCGTATTTCCAAACGCTACCCCAATTTTCGAATTTTTGACGTCACGGAAATATCGATTAGTTTCACCTGGCAAGACGGCGTACCCCACTTTTGACTACTACGGCGCGTTTTCGAAAGAATTGTGGTGTTGATTAGTGTGTTTGGGTGCTAATTGTGAGATTTTCGCAATTTAAATTATTATGACAAGGAAAAATTAAGCAAAATCTTTAGTGAATAGTTGTTTATCGCCGTAGTGTACTTGAGGAAAGAGGTGAATAATTCACTGCTGATGCATTAACAATATGAAAAATTTGGAAGACTCCGCAATAAATGTGATGCATTCATCGCAAAATTCAGCGAAGCCAGTAAAACAAACGAGTGTTCGCAAAACTTATCCACATCTGAAGTCACTATACAAAAATTGTATGTGTGCCAACCCAGATATTTTATAAATAAATAAATTTAAAAAAAAACTTGCAGAAAACTTCAGATCAAGGAATAAGAAAGAATTGCAATGCCTCTGTGTGCTTAAAAACTACGAAGCATTCTGCAGACTATACCAAAATCAAGGTTGACAAATAGATTAATAAATTTTAATGTTTCTTTTAGTGTATATATTTCAAATTATTAAAATAACTTGGAACAGTTGTTTAATTGCTTAAAAAGCAATAAAGTTCATTTATAAAGATATACAAGGAACTTCATAATTATCAAAATATTTCATTGCTTTGGTGAAAAACTAAAATTACCTAACTTTTTATAACATTAAGTATCTATCTTTGTAACTGTAGTATTATGCTCTGTTTATAACTTTATCATTTGTTATACATTAAAATATTCTGTTTTATTTACTAAATGTGTAATCAATTATCAGGATTACTAAATGTGTTAAGAATTTCCATACATGCTTGTGCAGTGTGATTGCATGTTTGTGTAATGAACTTTGATTTTCATGAACAAAAAAGAAAGTTCAAGTGTGTGTCTGTGCAATTTTGACGATATAAATACTGAAATGTGTGTACAGTAAAAATTCAACTAAAAAATATTCGGAAAGCTCTTGAAATTTTGGATAGCCAAGTGTAATGACCTTGCGGATTAATAAGGCACCATGAGGAAAACGACACCAACATTTATTAAAAATTAACTTTCACAGAATAATGAAAAAAAAATTAACATTTAAAGAATAGTGGCAAACTCGGAGCACTACCTCGCTCCTACAACATAATTAACCTACAACCTGCCTCCTCTGAGGCTAACATGCAACTGTCCTCTCTCTTACTTGCTGGGCTCTGCCAGGCAGCTGATTGGCTCACCGCTGCCAGATACATGACACCCCCCCCCCCGTAAGATTGTGCTACGCCAAAGCGAGCAGAATCTGAAAACTGAACCAGCAAATACAAACTTAAATTGTATACACTCCCATACCAAATTAATTCAAATATAGAACATGTTATACCATGACATAATAACATAATACTTTGAAATAAATGCAATAAACATTCATCTCACAACAGATGAAACAGATGGCTTGATACAATACCGGAGTTCTGTAATAAACCATATATGCAATACTATTTCCAAAACACACTATTATAATGCAATACTAAATGGAAACCAGTAATTTGATTTTCAAAACAGATGGAAAGTAGCTCTCGTATAATTCCGGAACAAAAGAAAGTAACTAATGCAAAGTTTTAAAACATATTAGTTCATACTTAGTTCACACCTATTTCATTCACCCACTAGTCTTGAAAGACCATCTGCATTTTTTAATTGTGCACCAGGGCAATGAGAAATATGAATATTATAGCGCTGAAGTGCCATTGCCCACCTCTGTAATTTTCCAGGATCAGGTTGATGTCTTCCAGCTCCTATTATATGTCCTAAATACTTTATCTCCGAACGTGCAAAAACACATTTCTTCACGTTCACCGTAAACCTGAGATCACTTAATGTAGTTAGCACAGCATCTAATGTTTGAGATGCGAATTACAATCTGGGTGAAAAGATAGCAATATCATCAATATATGCTTTGCAAAAATCACTATGTTTTCTTAAGGCATCATTCATCACTCGCTGAAAAGTAGAAGCTGCATTTTTTTAATCCAAAAGGCATCACCTTCCAACGATATTGGGAACGATGTGTCTTGAATGGATGTTAAATCACGACTTTTCTTCTTCTAAAGGTATTTCCCAGATAACCTTTCAAGAACATCTAAACTGGTGATAATATTTGTGTGTCCAATTTTATTGATTAGATCAAGTCACATTCTCCATTGGGAAATCAACAAACTTTGGTTACTTGATTCAACAATCCTGAAAATCAATACATAAACGCATACTTCCATCTTTCTTGGCAACACATACGAGCTGGGTATGCTATTTCAGCTTCACTTGGCTCAATAAGACCCAAGCTCGCCGAATTCCTCGATCTGTTTATCTACTTCCAGGTTTCAAAGATTCTGGGATCTTATAGATGTATGGTTTGTTCCTTTCAGCTCCAGGTAAGAACCGAATTCTATGTTCACCGAACTGATGGCTATTTGGATCTCACCAGAAAATAACGCGATGTGCTTGAGTAAAAACTCGTGTAATTCCTTTTGTTTGCTATCCCTCTAAATGACTAATATCCACCTCGATGTTCCTTCTAGTTACTGCGCAATCTCCTTTATTTGGAGTGGTATGAATTTCCCCAAACTCAGAATCATCTTCAAATATCACTCCCACAGTTTGTGCTCGAACATAAAATTTTCTTATTTTGCTCACATGAACATGCCTCACACTCCCATCGGGTAATTTAACTTTGTAAGAATGAGGCTTCACTCTTTCACAATTTCACCTGGACCTGTCCACCTAGCATATAGCTTTTTTTAGAGTCTGGTATAAGTAAATATACTAGATCACCATTTTAAAATTCTTTCAAAACTTTTGCGACGGTTAAAATAATATGCATAAGCTTCTTGTTTTTCCGCGGCAGATAAGAAGCGAGCTCAGATGCTTTCTCTCTAAATTTATCTTTAATTCTTGTAGATAATCAACTGCTGCTATACTAATTAAGAGTTAATGGTAATTTCACCGGACCATATGATTTTAACACAGCTAAGGGACTCTAGATTCACGACCTACATAAGCATAAATGGAGAACACCGGTAGTGCAATTTGGAACTTCACGATACGCAAAAAAGTAAATAAGCATGTGCTTGTCCCAATTAACAGGATCTGTGCGAATTACATGATTAACATTTGTTTAAATACCCCGATTCCATTTTTTCCACTGAGCGTTTGATGCTGGGTACCATGTCGAAAAACGAGATGAGTTCCTAACCTTTTTTTCGAATTCTTGAGTTAATTGTGAGGTAAAATTAGTGCCTTGATCGCTACAAATATTTCTGGAATAACCGGTTCTCATAAAATATCTAAAGAGCCTCACAATAGCTTTAGCAGAAAGACTTTTAAGGTATGACTTCTGGCCATTTTGAATGATTATCTATCAAACACAAACAATATTATGTTTTCCTTCCTGAAGGGTGAAATTTCACCATAATATCTATATTTACCGTATGAAAGGGATATGGCGCGAACAATAGGAGTAATCGGAATTTATCCGATTGTCTTTCCGGACTTTTTAATTGACAATCTTTCGCATGTTCACAATAATTTTCTACATCTTTTGGATATGTTCGGCCAATAAAATGAAAGCTTATTCTTTCTTTAGTTTCCTCATACCTAAATGATTTCCGAATATGGAATCATGAGCTAATTGAAGGATTTATTTCGATAATTCTCGGGCAAAACTAACTGTTGTATGTTTTCCCCCCACAAATTTTTTCTTTATGAAATAATAATTCGTCCTGTACAAAAGAATTATTCTTTTCCTACTTCGCGTCCTTAAAAGAATTATTAACGTTTGGCAGTTCTCTGATCGACCTTAAATTTTCGATTTCCGATAAACTGTTTAGGCTTTCTCATTCTGATTCGAACTGAGGCTAATAAAAAAGATTTACATTTGACAGTTCACGGCGCCAACCTCAAGTGTTTTTTGTTATGAGTTTCCGTTTCGTCTCAGGGAAGACTGTTGATTCATTCTCGTCTTCAAATATGCGTCCCATACATCTGGTGTATTAAACATTGAACATTTAGCTTATTGTCAACGCGAAAGAGCTTCTCTACGCGCGAATATAGACAACTATTTGGTTTTTTGTAATAAATGGAAATAGTTGCTAACGTTGCCTCTATGACGTCGCCAAATGCAGAACTTTTTTCAGATTTTGCTCTTACTTTCTATTTTTAAATCAAAAATTAATGTAATGTTCAAAATCGGTATTTCCGTACCTGAATCTTTTATAGCTTCTACTTGCTTACCTGCAATGTAAATAGTAATCTCTTCCAAAGAATAAAAATTAAGTTTTCCAT